TGATTAATATAGTTCCCTCTGGGTTTTTTAAAACTAGCTATGCATTATTTATCTCTCTCCCTGTCTAGCTCTCTGTCCTCCCTCCCCAGTTAAATTTACCCCCATTTTCCCCATTTTCCCCTTGATAATATCTGTCTCCGTGATCCCCACTCTCTTGAGCTTCTTTCCTTTCACACCCATAGTTCCTTGTATAACTCTCCCTCTCCCCGTCCCATTTAAATACCCCCATTTTATCCATTTTTCCCTTGGTAACACCTTTCTCCCACTGTTGTTCTCTCTCAGATTCCTTCTTTCCCTTTACCTCCCTGGTTCCTTTCCATTTTCCTGGCTCCTGCGGTCATATCAGGATATATACTCATATATAATGATTTGGTGCTAAAGTCCACAAATGAGAGAGAACATATATTGTTTGTTTTTCTGTGTCTGTGTTACCTCACTCAGTAAAACAGTTTCTACTTCCATCCATTTACCTGTAAATTTCATGATTTCATCTTTCTTTACTGCTGAGTAAACTCCATTGTGTAAATGTACCACATTTTTATTATCCACTCATCAGCTGAGGGACACTTAGGTTGCTTCCATTTCATAGCCCACAGAGGCTGGAGTCGTGTGTTCTCAGGCAGTCTCCTAAGGTCTGGGCCCCTACTAGCCAGTTGGGAAGCCTGGCCCTGGGGCCCATGCTTGGGGTTTTTGGCTTCAAATTCTCAGTCCTCTTATCTCAGCCTCCCAAGTGCTGGTGTGTCTAGTAAATAAGAACCAGTTATTCAGGCTGAATAATTGTCTTTCTTTTTTTTATTTATTATTTTTATTTTATGTGTATACGTATATGTCTGCACGTATGTAAGTGCACACCTGTGTTGTGCAATGTCTGCGGAGGACAGAAGAGGCTGTCAGAGTTACAGACAGTTGTTAGCTGCTATGTGGGTGCTGGGACTCGAACCTGGGACTTCTGTATGAACAACCAGTGTTCTTAACTGCTAAGCCATCTCTCCAGCCCCTCTTTTCTTTTTTTTTTGACACAGGGTCTCCCTGTAGCCCCAGCTGTCCTGGAACTCACTATGTAGACCAGGCTGGCCTTGAACTCATAGAGATCCACCTGCCTCTGCCTCCCGAGTGCTGGGATTAAAGGCGTGTGCTACCACGCCCGGCCCCCCTCTTTTTTAAAAAAAAATTATTATTTTTATTTTTTATGTGTATGCATGTATTGCCTGCCTGTAGGTATGTGCACCTGTGCCATGCAATGCCTATGGAGGACAGAAGAGGCTGTTGGATTCCCTGGAACTGAAGTTACAGACAGTTGTTAGCTGCCATGTGGATGCTGGGATTCAAACCCTGGTCTTCTGCAAGAACAGCCAGTGTTCTTAACCACTGAGCCATCTCTCCAGCCCCATAATTGTCTTTCTTATAAATTCACTTAATGATTTTTTTATAACTTCTCCATCCTACATGTTTTCAGGAAGTAAATGGAATTTTACCACAGAGGCCTGGGGCCCAGGGAGTGGAAGAACAGGGAGATCCTCCTTCCCTCCTTCCTTTTTTTTTTTTTTTTTTGAGACAGGATCTCTTTGTAGCCCCAGCTGTCCTGGAACTCACTATGTAGACCAGGCTGGCCTTGAACTCACAGAGATCCACCTGGGGTTAAAGGCGTGCGCCACCACGCCTGGCCTCCCTCCTTCCTTTTTTAAAGATAAAGTTCCTTTGTGTAGCTCAGACTGGTTTAGAGCTCAATCTTCCTGCCTTTGCTTTGAGTGCTGGGATTACTGGTGTGCACCACTGTGATCACTTTACTTTTCTCTTTTAGTACTATAAAATTCACGCTTTAAAATTTTGGGGTGGGGTTCTTTTGTTTTTTTTCTTTCTTTCTTTTTTCTTTTATTTTCATTCTTTTTTAAAGTTTTCTGGACAGGTGGCTTGGAACTTCTTGGTATGTAGACCAGTACAAGGATTAAAAGTGTGTGGCATCATGCCCACGTTTTATAAATTTTTTTAAAAGTTGAACAAAAAAAGCCAGGTGTGGTGGCATACGCCCTTAGTTCCAGCACTTGGGAGACAGAGGCAGGCAGATCTCTGTGAATTCGAAGCCAGCTTGGTCTACCTAGTGAGTTCCAGGCCAGCTGAGGCTACAGGGAGACCCTATTTCAAAAAGACCCCCCGCCAAAAAAAATTGTGAGATGGAGAGATAGCTCAGTGGTTAAGAGCTCAGTTAATTCTCCCACCTCAACTTCTTAAGTAGCTGGGATTACAAGTGCATATCACTGAATCTGCCTCACTGTCAGGAACTTTCTTAACATGGTTTCTAAGCCAGGTGAGTGGCAAATACTGATAATCCCAGCATGTAGAAGATGGAGGCAGGAGGATCAGGAGTTCAAGGCTGTCCTCAACTTTGTATTGAGTTCAAGGTCAACCTGGATTACAACAAATACACAGATGTATTTTCCTGAGACTCTGTCTTTGGCAATCTCCTGGGCTGGGATGGGGAGTTTGGGAGCCTCAGCTCCAGCTCTGTGTACTAGTGGCTTGCTGTGCTTGTCTTTGTCTTCCAGACCATGACCTGGTCATTTGGATGGAACAGTTCCCTCCCTGTCTACTACATCCAAGATGAGAACCACAGAGTCCTTCTCTATGTCTGCGCTCACACTGCTATCATCTACAACGTCTTCAAGAACACCCAGTACCACCTCCAGGTATGCAGGCTTTGTCTTCCTAAGAGTAAAAGGTGGTGTCTTTGTTTCAGTTTTTGAGATGGTCTAGCTATGTAGCCCAAAACTAGCTTCCAACTCCTAAAATTTTTGTTTTGGCCTCCCAAGTGCTGGGGATTACAGACATGTGCCACCATACCCGGCTGGAAAAAGACATCTGTAACTCACGTATCGAATTTTGCCTTGGATCTTAGGGCTGACTTCTGTGCCTCCCTGTCATGCTTTGTACCCTCTCCTTTTTTGGAAAATTTTGCCTTAGAGACACATGTTAGGGCCACCAAGATGGCTCACTGGGTGGAGGCACTTGCCACCAAGCATGATGACCTGAGTTCAATCCCTAAGACCCACGTGGAAGAAGGAAAGAACCAACTCCCACAGGTAGTTTTATGACCTCCTTCCATATACATGTTCACACATGAAATAAATAAATGCATTAAATTTTGGGGGGGGGTCTTTTTTTTTTTTTGAGACAGGGTCTCCCTGTAGCCCCAGTGGGCCTGGAACTAACTATGTAGATCAAGCTGGCCCTGAACTCACAGAGATCTGCCTGCCTCTGCCTCCCCAGTGATGAAATTATAGGCATGTGCCACTATGCCAGACACAATAATTTTTTTTTTTTAAAGAAACACATGGGGCCTGGTGTGGTAGCACACACCTTTAATCCCAGCACTTGGAGGCAGAGGCAGGTGGATCTCTGTGAGTTCAAGGCCAGCCTATTCTACATAGTGAATTCCAGGCCAGCTAGGGCTATAGAAAGACCCTGCCTCAAAAATTAAAAAAAAAAAAAAGAAAAAAAGAAACACATGGACCTGAGAGATGGCTCAGTGGCTGAGAGCACTGGCTACTCTTGCAGAAGACCCGGGTTCAAATCCCAGCACCACATGGCAGCTAACAACCATCTAACTCCAGTTCCAGGGGATCCAACATCATCTTCTGATGTCAGTGGGCATTGCATGACACAGGTGTAATATATTCGTATGCATAAAATAAACTAAAAGTAATAAACATATGCTATTGCTCACTGCCTCTGATTCTAATTAGTACCAGTTGACAAACAACAGTTGATACTAATTTTATCATTACAAGAATTGGAAACATATATTTTGTGACCTACATTTCTGCAAAAATGTGGCAGTGTAGACCATGTCTACACAGAAGCATGGTGAAGGGCGGCCAATCACTGGACACTCAGACCCATCACCACAACTCCTTTCCAGTTTCCAAAGGGCTCAGATTCTCATTATGCTGTGAAGTGGATGCTGATACACCCATATGATGCAAGAGGAAACAGGCTCAGAGTCTGTTTAAATGACTGGCCCAGATTGCCATGACTCTAGGTCTCATGACTTGGAAGTTTTCAGGAAGCCAGCGGGTCTCCTGTCCTTCCCTCCCTTCAGCACTTCCTCTGTCCCACCCTAGCATCCTCCATGCCTGCCCTCCTCACACCCCTCTACTTCCTCCACTCTGACATTTGACCCCTCTTGTTGTCATCATTTCCCTGTTTCTTGGTGTCTGCTATTCCACTGCTGACCTGGTGAACAGTTCTGTTACCCTTTCATGAATGTGTATCGTTATAGGACTTTCCTAGGACAATGCCAAGATCGAAAACAAAGTATTTCCCAAGCAACCAAGCAGTGCTCAATATGGTGCTGGGGACCCAAGACATGTGGGTCCAAACTAAAGAATTTCCTTCTAGAAGGCCAGAGACACGTTAATAAAATAAACAAAAGTTTTGTTGAATGTGCACTGCTGGACACAGGAGCAGCAGAGGGAAGGAGGCTGGGATGGGCAGGTGGCTCAGGTGGGTGGAGCACACCCCATGGGAGTCTGGTCACACCAGATCCATGGGGAATGGCCTTGGCCATTTGTTAATAACATAACTATGCATCCTAACCACTTGAGTTTCAGATTGTGATCTGTGGTCAGGAACAAAACTGATCTGGCCCCACCCTCGTGGGACTTCCAGTTTGTTATAGAGATGGACATCAAACCAGGGAACACAAAGAGATGACTGCAAATAGTAACCAATATTCCCTCGAATGGAAATGGGAACTTGCTCTGAGGAAAGGCAGGCTGAGAAGAGACTTATTTTGGCTAGGTGCATAGGGACTGAAAAAGTCCCGTTTCTGCTGAGAACAGGAATGAGAAATTAAAGCCACTAGGGACAGTTTGGGGAAGAAGCTTCTAGAAAGAGGAAGCTTCAATTGCTAAAGCCCAGGGAGAAGGCCAGTGTGGCTAGTACAGAGAGTGTAGGGTAGAGTCGGGGGGAGGGGTGGGGGGGCTGAAGGATGAGGGAAGGAAATGGGGCTATGTCCAACACAGAGTGCTGTCATCTCATGAGTATGTTTCTGGAAGATTCCTCTGTTGTGTGGGAAAAGGACTAGATAAGACTGGCATAAGAGACCAGTAAGCTATAGAGCTGCTCATTGATCTGAAGTGGACTGTGTTCTAGGTAGATGAAGCTAACAGGGAGTTCAGGGGACCTGGGGTGGGGTTTGGCACCTACCTCCATCCCTAAGGAGGAGTTAATTATTCCTTTGGGGAGTACAGCTCTTTCCAGGTATATGGAAGGAGAGAGATTGGAAACCACCATCAAGAGATGGAGAATCCCCCAGGAAGGCCTATAGAACCCACTTTCCAGACAGGTGAGCTTTGAAAGGAGCTCAGATCTCTCCTGGATCCAGCCTTTTCTGAGGGTGCCCACATGGAGCCACATCCTTGTTTTCTAACCTGTTCTTCATTTCTATAGGGCCACCCTAACATCATCTCCTGCCTCTGTGTCAGTGAAGACAGGCGGTGGATTGCCACAGCAGACAAAGGTCCAGACTGCCTGATAATTATATGGGACTCTTTCACAGGGTAGGCTTTGTGTGGTCACATCTTTCTCTTAATTTCTATGGAGTATCTGCCACTGTGGCCTGGAACTTGCTATGTAGATGAGGCTGGCCTCAAACTCAGAGATCTGCCTGTCTCCCACGTGCTGGGATTAAAGGCGTGCCCTGCAGTGACTAATATTTTTAAATTTTAAAAGCTGTACTTTATGTATAGCAATATAATTTATATATTAAACCACATATAATAGAATGACTTAATATAGTTGTTTGTTTGTTCTATTTTTAGCTTTTTGAGACAGTATCTTACCGTCTAGCACTGGCTAGCCTAGAACTCACTAAGTAGATTGGGCTGGTCTGGAACTCACAGAGATCCACTTACCTCTAGCCCCAGAGTGTTGGGATTAAAGGTGTGCACCATCATGCCCAGATTTGACTTGATATAATGTTTCGTTTTTGAGGCGGGGGTCTCCTTGTAGCCCCAGTTAGCCTGAAAGTTACTATATAGACCAGGTTGGCCTCAATCTCACAGAGATCCACCTACATCTGCCTTCTGAGTGCTGGAATCAAAGGCATGTGCTACCATGCCCAGCCCTTGATATAGTTTTAAACAGAATTGAAAAAAATTTACTTTTTCTAAGCAGGGCAATGTGATCCCTTATATGTAGATCCTGGCCTATAACATCTTCATATATGTCAATAGGTGTAAGTGTGGGTCTAAAATTTAAAAAGGAGAAGATAGATAGGAAGGACAACATGCAGATGAAAGGGACATGAAAGAGGGTAGACTGTTTCAACACCCCCGTAGTTGGTTTTCTATAGTTGTCGTTGTGTGTGTGTGTGTGTGTGTGTGTGTGTGTGTGTGATGTGAATTTAACTTTTGGGTGTATTAAATAGCAAGAACCACTTTTGCATTCCAAAAGAATTGGACACGTTACTCCTTTGAGGCAGTGGTTGTGAAAGATGGGCTATCTTTTGAATTCCATGCAATAGGAATTAGACATGACTCAATATATTAGTCACAACTTTAATATATTTTAGTGTAAAACTAAAATGATTATTTTAACTTAAAATTAAAGTCTCCATTGACTATTAATGGCAGTCCCAATGCTTTTTCTAGTGGTAATCAATTTGGAATGCTTCCTTCTAGAACATCTGCTATTGGTTTAAATACACTTAGAGGGCCTTCATTGTGTGGTTTTCTGCATGATAGTTTAGTGCAATCTTTTCTCAAACATGAACCTGATTGTGCTGCTCTGTTCTGGAGGCTGCCATATGCCCATCAGCTTGGGTTACAGGGAATAACCCTTGCATGGAGGCTTTTTCCTCAAAAAGGGAAATGTCCCTGTGTACATGCCCAATGACTCTACCATCTCTGCATGCACTGGTTTGCAAGTAATGGGACATCCAACTTGACCATGAGGGGAAGTTATCTTATGTAAGAGTAGTCTATGATATTGACCAGTAGGTGCTGTGTCTCTTCTCGGAGGCCTCTGGGGACAGTTCCCTGCATGGGGCCAGAGTTAACCCCATCCTGAGTAATGATGACCTGTAATGTTTTCTTATTTAGGAACTGACACCCCTCTAGACTTAGAGCATCTTGAAAGTACTTATTTCTTTTTTTTAAATACAAAATATAGCCTTGGCATGGTTGTACTGTAATCCTAGTACTTAGGAGGTGGAGCAGGATCAGGAGTTCAAAGTTATCCTGAGCTACATATTCAGTTCAAGGCCAGACTGGGCTGCATGAGACACTGACTGAAAACAAAACAAAGCAAAACAAAAATACCCAAAAAGCAGAAACACCAAAAAATAGTAGCACATCTTTGCTTAAGAATTCATTTATTTATTTGCATATATGAATGTGTATATATATACATGTATATGCATAGGTGTATAAGATGTGTAGGTGTGTGTTTGTGTCTCTCTGTGTACACATGTGTATGTATGTATGTGCGCATCAGTGCCATACATATGTAGAGGTCAGAGGATAACTTGATGGATTCAGTTCTCTCCTTCCACCAGGTTCTAGGAATAAAACTCAAGTTATGAAGCTTGGTAGCAAGTACCTTTACCTGCTGAGCCATCTCACTGGACTCATGGTTAACAATTCAGTGCAACATCAGTATGAACTTTTTGTTTTTTGTCTTTTTTTGAGACAGGGTCTCCCTGTAGCCCCAGCTGTCCTGGAACTCTCTATGTAGACCAGGCTGGCCTTGAATTCACAGAGCTCCACCTGCCTCTGGGAGGTAGGGAGGGATTAAAGGCGTGCACCACTACGCCTGGCTATGAACTTTTGAATTTCATTTATTTAATCACTTATTGGTTTACTTATTTAGTTTTTAGTGGTTGCTAGGGATGGAACTCAGGGCCTTGCACATATCAGGCAAGTGCTCTACTAGCCCTAACCCTCCCCAGCTCTGTAGCACAGCTTGACCTGGAATTTTTTTTTTTTTTTTTTTTTTTTTTTTGGCTTTCTCAGACAGGGTCTCCTTGTAGCCCCAGCTGTCCTGGAACTCACTATGTAGACCAGGCTGGCCTTGAACTCACAGAGATCACCTGCCTCTGCCTCCCAAGTGCTGGGATTAAAGGCGTGCACCACCACACCTGGCCCTGGCCTGGAATTTGTAATAGAGTCGATATCCCAGATGATGACTTTAGGATCCAGAACAGATTATTCAGAGGCTGTTTAGTTTTAGAATTAATATTCCCCTTATTAGAGTGACATTTAAAAACTATCCTTCTTCCTTAAAGTTTTTGTTCAACTTAAAAATCTTAGTCCCAGCAAGAATGTAGCTGTAGCTCAGTGATAGATCACCTTACCTAAATGTACAAGGCACCAGTTTCAGTCTGTATCACCACCACAACAATCACAACAAAAAATTAGCCCAGTGTGGTGGCACATACCTGTAATCACAGCATTTGTGAGGCTGAGACAGAAGGATTAGGAGTTCCAGGCTAGGCTGGGCTACATAGTAAATTCTAGGTCACCCAAGACTATATAGGAAGACACAATATGAAAAGAAAAATTTATGGGCTGGAGTGATGGCTCAGCAGTTAAGAGCACTGACTGCTCTTGTAGAAGACCTAGGTTTGAATCCCAGCACCCACATGGCAGCTAACAACCATCTGTTGTAACTCCAGTCCTAGGGGATCCAATGCCCTCTTCTGACCTCAAGCATTGTACAACATGGATGCACTGACATATATGCAGGAAACATACTGATGCACATAAAAATAATAGCCGGGCGTGGTGGTGCATGCCTTTAATCCCAGCACTCAGGAGGCAGAGGTAGGTGGATCTCTGTGAGTTCGAGGCCAACCTGGTCTCCATTTATTTTATTTTATTTTTTTGGTCTTTTTGAGACAGGGTCCCCCTGTAGCCCCAGCTGACCTGAAAGGCACTATATAGACCAGGTTGGCCTTGAACTCACAGAGATCTACCTGCCTCTGCCTCCCTAGTGCTGAGATTAAAGGTGCATACCACCACACTTTGCCAAATAAAATATTTTTTAAAAAGATAAATTTACTCTTATAAATCTAGCATATTTTTGCAATCACCTTTGAAGAGGTTTTGATTAATGTATGACTTAACAAATTTGGTTATTAACTTTAAAAAATTTTAAACTGCATGTGGAAATGTAATATATTATGTTTAAGTTTTTAATAGTCTAATTTGGAAACAAATTCCTCATCAATACATAAATAATTCCTATAAATCTAATAAATTTAACCATAAATATGGTAAACTTTAAGCTTTCTTAAGTATTCTAAAGCTGTTTATAAACCTAAAATGATTTCAATTTAAAATTGGAAGTCTAAATCAACTTCATGTTTTAAATTAGAATCACAAATCTAATCTGTTAGACACTGATATGTTAAATTCCCTTAAACTTTATGCATTCCTAAAAATATGAACAAATTTTTGAATCATAAATATGTTGATAGAACAGATCTGACTGACTTTATCTTCTCTCTACTTGATTTTAAACATTTCCAGGCCTGAGATGCAGTTTCCTACTAAGCTCTCCACTCTGCCATCCCCAACAATTGAGGGCTGCCTTCCAAGTGAAGTTTGGGGTTCATGTTTCAGTGAGCTGGTTTCTCAAATGACAGAACCAAAGTGTCCTTCAGCTGGGACACAGACTTTGCTCTAGCCAATTGGGATACTGGTGTGACACACAGAGGCCTGTTTATAGTCACTGTAACATGGGCTCCATAGCAGAAAGATGTGGGGCACCACACGGCCCACAATCTGGCTGCCACTCACTGTCCCTCCCAGTTAAAATCAGTGACCTCCCAGCCTCGGGTGACAGTTGCCTCATTGCCCCCTTCCCTGGTCTCTTACATGTCATTTAACTCAATTCTGTCTGTGTCAAGGCTTTGTCTGAATTGTACTGTTGTCAAGTCTCAGCTCTGACAAAATAGAAGTGTGTAGGTACAATCAGGAAAATCTCTCCTCACTTGAACCCAGGCTCCAGTCCATAACCTTGTGTACAGCCAGGTTTTGTGCTTTCCCCTACAGGTGAATGTGCATGCACACAGTCAGGAAGTTGCTCTTTGCAGATTTGCACTTGAATTTTTTTTTTACACAAAGTTTTGATCACTTATTCATATCTACCTCATTCTTTAAAAAAAAAAAAAACTCTCCACCAGTAATTTTTTTTTTGGTCTTTTTGAGACAGGGTCTCCCTGTAGCCCCAAGCTATCCTGGAACTCACTATGTAGACCAGGCTGAACTCACAGAGATCCCGCTGCCTCTGCCTCCCGAATTCTGGGATTAAAGGCGTGTGCCACCACCCCTGTCATAACAAATGACTTTTTTTTTCTCTTTTTGAGACAGTCTCCTTGTAGCCCCAGCTATCCTGGAACTCACTATGTAGACCAGGCTGGCCTGGAACTCACAAAGATCTGCCTACCTCTGCCTTCCAAGTGCTGGGATTAAAGGTGTGCACCACCACGCTCGGCTCAGTAATTGTTTTTTTAAAAACTTTATTTATTTGTTACTATATTTATTTGGAGGGTGGGCTCACATGTGCCATGGCACATGTATGGAGGTCTGAGGACAACTTGTAAGAGTGGGTTCTCTCCTTCCACTTGTGTTGGCCTCTTCTGGTGTTTGTGGGCACTATATACATACCGGCAGTCAAAACTCTTGTACATATGAAAATAAATGAATCATTTAAAAATAAATAAATAAAATTTAAAAAGAATAATTTTGGACACAGATGTTAATTAAACATAAATATCCTTTGCATATATAGGTCATAGTCTGTGATGTTTTTTGGAAGATTTGAACTGAGCTCAGCCCTCCCTCAGCCCCTCTGGGAAACCAGGCGTCCCTCTGTAAGGGCTGTTGCTCCCTGTCCTGTTTTTCAGAATCCCTGTGCATACCATATTTGACAGCTGCCCAGAGGGTAATGGCATAACGGCTATAGCCATCACCCAAGACGCCAAGTTTCTGGCTACAATCTCAGATGCTGAAGTCCAGGTAAGGGACCCTTTAGGTTGGCCTCTGCAAGCTGGCCAGACTGCCAGTGTTCTCGCAACCACTTGTGCTCAACCTGCCTGGTGTATGTGGTGTTCTCTGACGATTAGACTCCACTGTACAAAGTCAGAGCCCCCTGCTTAGAGCTTGACTCTGGTCCTTAGAACTGTTTCCTGGGGTGACAGGGTCGCCATAACTTCAGGCTTCTTCAGCACCCTCGGGGTCCCTCATGTCCCCTGTTATGCTCTTACCTGTAGAAAGTATGCATCTGGAGGTGGACTTTGGCGGTGGAGTTGCCTGCATGCACTCTTGAGCTGCCCAAAGAGTATGGTTTTCAGGTAAGTTTTGTTTGACCCCGTCAAGACCCTGTCAACATGAGTCTGTAGTTAACAGACTCAGATCAGAGCTCACCTTTTGTTTTAGTGTCGTTTTTCCTCGATATAGGAGAGCTTAGAACAGTGCTTTCCTAGCCCAGACCATATTTTATCTTTGTTGATAACAGATAATGTGTTTGAAGCACTCATTATGTTCCAGACTGTGCTAAATTTATCTTTACTTCAATTATCTCATATAATCCATGCAAATGTGCTAGCATGGAGTTACTAATATCTGTGGACTACTATTGTTAATTATTAAATAATGTGCTTACAGTCACCCAACCAGCAGCCTTTCTTATTCAGAAGCATGCTCTCACTGCATCTAACCTTGCAATGGATTTTTGAGGGATAAGGACAAGTTCTTACTTCCAGTTTACAGGAGATGACTTGCCCAAGGCATCAGAATGCTAACACCAGGTCTCTTGGCTTCCCACATCACTGCTCTCTGCTGCTGGGTGTTTTCACATCCCTTCATGCCTGAGAGGACTGCTCTATGATACCTGAAACTCAGAGGGCTGGGTGACTAGCTTCAGCAAGACACAGATCCCCATGCAGCATACACCCAGTATATTAGTCACTTTTCTGTTGCTGTGATAGAAACACCATGACCAAGAGAATTTATAAAAGGAAGAGTTTATTTAGCTTACAGTTTCAAAGGGTCAAGAGTCCATCATGGCAGGGAGGCATGGTGGCAGAGGTGGCTGGAAGAGGAGGAGCAGAAGCTAAGCTCTCACATCTTCAAGCAGGCACAGGAAGCACGAGAATGACTTGAGCTCTGGCAAGACTTAAGAAATCTCTAAGCCTACCCCCAGTGACATGCTTCCTCCAGCATGGCCATACCTTCTAAGACCTCTCAAAACAGTGCCACCAACTGGGTACAAAATGTCCAAATACTTCGAGCCTATGGGGGACATTCTCATTCAAATCATCACATTCCACTCCCTGGACCTCATAGGCTCATGACCATATGGATTGTAAAATGCATTTAGTTTGTCCTTAAAAGTCCCCATAGTCTTTACCAGTCTCAATAGTATTCAAAAGTCCATAGTCCAAAGTAGTCCAAAGTCTCTTCTGAGACTTGGGGATCTCTCTCTCTCTCTCTCTCTCTCTCTCTCTCTCTCTCTCTCTGGTATTTTTGAGACAGGGTCTTCCTGTAGCTCCAGTTAGCCAGAAACTAGCTATGTAGACCAGGCTAGCCTGAACTCACAGAGATCTGCCTGCCTCTGCCTCCTGAGTGCTGGAACTAAAGGCATATGCCTCCATTCCTGGCCTGCAATCTCTTAACTGTAAGGTCCATGTGAAATCAAAAGACAAATTACATACTCCCAACATATAGTGGAACTATGGGAATACACATTCCCATTTCAAAAGGAAGGAATAGAGGCATAGTGAGGAAATACTGAACCAAAACAAGACCAAAAGCCATCAGGGAAAACTCCAAATCCAGTAGCTCCACGTCCAACTTCTGGGGCTTTACTTTCAAAGGGCTTAGATAATCTAGCTCAGCCTCTCCATCTCTCCCTTGGGCTGGTACCACTCCCTGTGTGCAGCACTTCTTGGCAAATGTCTCACAGCTCTGGCATCATGAACATCTTGGGGTCTTTACCACCAAGCAGGCTTCACCTTCACAGCCTTATGCAATGGTCTGTCAGGACCTTCTCTAGGCAGGGGAACCCCTGTTGCACATTGCCTGGCCTCAACAGTGCTCTGAAACCATGGAGGAAGAACCAATGACTCCTTCACTCTTGCATTTCATATCTCTAAAGCCAGCACTAGGTGACAGACACTGCCAAGTTTGGCTGCAAGTTTGGGAGGAACCCCAGCCTTCTTTATCCATTTAGAAGCTTTTCTCTTTAGTGGTTTCCTAGTAGAAAACCCCTGCAACATTTTCCTTTTACTAGTTGGAGGCTTAACTGGGTGTGGTCTTGCCCTGTAGGCACTCTCTCCATTGTTTAGGGAGAAATCTCTAGGCCTCTCCTTAATCACTTTAATCTCTTTATCAAAGGATCCTCTCTTCCAGCACTTGCCTTGGCTTCAATATCATCAATCTTCCTAGTGTTCCTATTCTTTAAAAAAAAAAAATTTTATTTTTATTTTGAGTGTATTGCCTGCATGTGTGTAAGCACATCCGTGTTGTGTGGTGCCCTCAAAGGTCAGAAGAAGGTGTCAGATTCCCCTGGGACTGGAGTTACAGATGGTTGTTAGCCACCATGAGGGTGCTGGGAATCGAACCCAGATCCCCTGCAAGAGCAGTCAGTGCTCTTAACTGCTGAGCCATCTCTCCAGCCCCACCCCAGTGTTCCTTTTCAACCCAAACTATACATTCTGTATTTCTTTCTGCCCCATTTGTTCTTCTTCACTGTAGATCTGCATAATATTCACCATTAATAGCAAAGCCACACACATTAGGTTGTCTTGAAATTTCTTCCACCAGAGAAATTAGTCCATTGCTTTTATTTTTTTGGTCTTTTTGAGATAGGGTCTCCCTGTAGCCCCAGCTGACCTGGAACTCGCTATGTAGACCAGGCTGGCCTCGAACACACAGAGATCCACCTGCCTCTGCCTCCCAAGTGCTGGGATTAAAGGCATGTGCCACCACACCCAGCCCAGTCCATTGCTTTTCTTCTTAGCCTCAGGCAAGCTTTTTGACTATGGGTAGATTCCAGCTAGACTCTTTGCCAAAATATCCCAATTGCTGCTTCAGTCCTTACTTCCCCCTGGAACTACATTGTTTTCAGCACTACTCTCTTCCAGGTGTCTACTAGAATGGCCTGTTAAGCTCTGCTTACAGCAATCAACTGCTTTTCTAGCCCAAACTTCAAAAGTCTTCCACATTCCTTCAAAAACCCACATAGTCAGTTCTTCACAGCCACCAGCCCACTCTCTGGTGCCAATTGCTGTATTAGTCATGTTTCTGTTGCTGTGATGGAAACACCATGACCAAGGGAACTTATAAAAGGAAGAGTTTATTTAGCTTATGGTTCTAAAGGGGCACGGATCCATCATGGTGGGGAGGCATGGTGGCAGAGGTGACTGGAGGAGGAACAGAAGCTAAGCTCTCACATCTTTAAGCAGGCACAGGAAGCAAGAAAGCGACTCAAGATCTGGCAAGGTTTAAGAACTCTCTAAGCCTGCCCCCAGTGCTTCCTCCATCCTGGCCAACCTCCTAAAACCTCCCACAACAGTGCCACCAACTGGGGACAAATGTCCAAATACTTGGAGCCTATGGGGGGGGCATTCTCGTTCAAACCACCACACCCAACTTCCTTCCCTCTCCTCCAATGTCTCTTCCACTGCTCTGAAAAAATATCCTTTTGAAACTTGCATCAATTCAGCAATCAGCCATATGTGACTATTTAGGCTAAATGGGTGGTTTTTTCTTTTTCCATTTGTGTGTGTGTGTGTGTGTGTGTGTGTGTGTGTGTGTGTGTATGTGTATGTGTGTGTGGTATACATGTTTGTATGCATATTTATGTGTGTGTCAATGTGAGGGTATGTGTGTGTGTGCATGTGGAGGCCTGAGGTTGATGTCATCAATCATCTTCCTTTGCTCTTCCACCTTATTCATTGAGGCAGGCTCTCTCAGTCAAACTCAGAGCTCACTGATATGGCTGCTCTTGCTGGCTTGCTCACTCTGTTGATCTCTGGTCTTTCCCTTCTAAGGCTGGAAATACAGGTGGGCCACCACACCAACCTGGAATTTATATGGGTTGTGGGGATCCCAACTCTGGTCCTTATGTTTTCATGACAAGTGTTGCTAACCACTGGAGCTATTTCCCCAGTCCAAAGATTGGTTTCTTTGTGATAGCGCCTTCATTTGCAGTCCATGTGGACTTGAGCACAAAATGATCTTTCTTAGTCTCCCAGGTGCTGGGATTGCAGGTATGTGCCATCATAGCTGGCTTCAGATGGCTATTTTAGTTTTTTCAACTTTTTTTTTTTTTTGCACTGAGTCTGTAGATTACTTTGTAAAGTGTTGTCAACTTGACACACAACCACATCACTATTAAACCACAACCTTTACATTTCTCATCCCCAAGATATGATGTTAACAATATTGTGGTATTTAAAAGTCCCACAGTCTTTAAAAAATCGAAACAAAAGTTCTGTGCTGGGTAGCTTCAGTTGTCAACTTGACACATCTGGGTTGGGGGCGGTCTCAGTTGGGGAATTGCTTCCATTGGACTGGCCTGTGGCCATGTCTGTGGCACATTTTCTTGATTGTTGAGTAATGTGGGAGGGCCCAGCCTACTATGGGCAGTGCCACCCCTGAGCAGGTGGTTCTGTGTTATATAAGAAAGCAGGCTGAGCATGGGCTGGGGGAGCAAGCCAGTAAGCTGTGTTCCTCCATGGCCTATGCTCCAGCTCCCGCCTCCAGGTTCCTGCCCTGAGGAGGTCTCCCTTAGGAGACAGAAGCAGGCAAATTTCTGTGAGATCAAGGCCAACCTGGTGTACATAGAGAGTGCCAGGCCTGCAGGGAGACCCTGTCTCAAAAAAATTGTGTGATTTGTGGTTGGGTTTGATGACTTCCTTGGCCACATAGACTCTTTAAGTGGAAACTGAAGAGTTAAAGGCTGGTGGTTTTCAGCTGGGTGAGGTCTAATTCATGCACTTCCATCAGTTTGGCATCACGCTCTTGTGCTGCACTGGGAGGATTCTGATACTGGCGTTGGTGGTTTACAATCCTGTAGTGATGCAGAAAGCAGTAGGCAAGGAATAGGCCTGGAGATGGAAACAGCTTTTCTCACTCATCCTGTGAGGCGAGGGCTCCTACTGCCCCCCCAATCCAGCAGTATATCTTCCAGCTCCCCAGGAGCTTCTCTCTTTGGTAGTAGTGGTGGTATTATTGTTTAGTTTCTGCAGAATTGATTTTGGGGAAGGGCTCCAACAACTTATGCCTTTCACTGGCTTGGCAGGAATCAAACTCTCCCTTCCAACACCTCACGTTCATTCCAAGATCTCTTGTTGCCCTGTCAGTTTTAGAAGTGTGCATTCATCAGTCTTTGTCCAAAAAGACATAGAATAAAGATTGTTGGTGATGGGGGGGGTAGGGGATGTCTTTCAAGGGTAGAGTGCATGCTTAGCATTTGTGAGCCTTGGGTTCAGGGCCCAGTAGCAAAAAGTAAATGAATGAATGAGGCATATTTGCTTTAAGATTTTATTTTTTAGACCTCACTATGTAGCACTGGATGGCCTGAAATTTGCTATGTAGACCAAGCTGGCCTGGAACTCCTAGAGATTCACTCACAGTGATCCACCAGCCTCTGCCTCCCAAGTACTGGGATTAATGGTATCTGCCACCATGCCCAGCTTAAGTTTGATTGATTTATTTAATGATTGATTTTGTTTTTTTGAGGCAAGGTCTCCCTGTAGTCCCAGCTGTCCTAGAACTTACTATGTAGAACAGGCTGGTGATCGCACAGAGATCTGCCTGCCTCTGTCTCCTGAGTGCTGGCTTATGCTACCATACCTATTTTTATTTCTTATTTAAGTGTCTGTGTCTGTGTGAGTTATTGCCACATGTGTGCAGGTGTCTACAGAGGCCAGAAGAAGGCATCAGATCTCCTGGAGTTGGAGTTACAGGTGATTTTGAGCTTTCCTACATGGGGTGCTGGGAAGAGGACTCTGGTCCTCTGGAAAAGCAAGAAGTGCTCTTGACCACTGAGCCATTTCTCTAGCCACTGTTTATTTTTGCTTGTTCCAATTTATAGAAAATGAATTTTAATAAAACTTGAAAAATGAACACATTTTTCATTATTTACTTTATAGCCAGTATTTAAATGATACTTTTTGTTTACCCAATTCCAAGTCTTTTGTGATTTGTGTCCCTATTCTCTTATTTATTTCAATTAATTTTGGGCTGGAGAGATGGCTCCAACGGTTAAGAGTACTGACTGCTCTTGCAGAGGACCCAAGTTCAATTCTCAGGACCCCACATGGTGGCTAACAACCATCTTTAACTCCAGTTCCAGAGGATGTGACTCCCTCTTCTGACCTCCGAAGGCATTGCAGGACACCAGTACATAACACACATGCAGGCAATATACACATATAATAAAAATATTTCTAAAAAATAAAATTATTTAATTTTAAGATTTGGCTTAACCAGAGAGAAACAGAAAGTTTATTTTCATGTAACATACTTTCACACTTTATATTTCAGAATTACCTTATTTTTAATCCAACAAATAATAAGGAATTAATAAGCAATAGCAAAACACAGACGATATATTATTCATGGGTAAGTAGAAATATTTCTACTTGTGTTAAATGTGGATATGAGCATATGGTTATTCTTTGAATACAAATGTTTTGCAATAACAGTGAAGTGTCTATTTAGGGAACAATGAATATATATTCAAATGTTTTGTTCTAATTATGGTATTTATCTTAGTCCTATTGGAAATTAGCATATTAAATTAGAAGCAGATAATTAAATTTCATTTAATTTTTTAAAGTAATGAGGCTGATATTTATTTGAATATATCTAACAGGTCTAAACAATAGGGTTTTTTGAGACCTTCGACTTTATTCCATTTCAGAAAGAAATTAACAAACAGATCAATAATAGATACAGCAGTGGAGGACAAAATGAGATTAAAGAAGTATCCAGAGTTAAATATAGAATCACTGTGATGCAGAGTTCCTAGGTATATATACCTTAAAGAATTGAAAACAGGTGTTCACACAAAAGCTCTATATAAACATTCACTGCAGCTGCAGTCTACAAAATGACCCAAAGCTAGATCTCAATGTCCAGCAACTGATGAAAGGAAAACAAGATGTGGTCTGTCCATTTTGTGGAGTATTGTTGTATTATGTGCTGTTAACTTGCGATGGTGTAGATAAACATCACAACTACCGGCTTAAATAAAAGAAGCTGGGTGGGCAAGCTGGCTCATCAAGTTAAAGGCACCTGCCGCCAAGCCTGACAACCTGAGTTTCATTCCAAGAACCCACATAGAGAGAACCAACTCCATAAAGTTGTCCTCTGACTCCATATGCACGTGTGCCCACACATAGACACACAAGCACAAAATAAGTAAAATACTATTTTTTAAAAAGACGTCATGTGGGCTAGAGAGATGGCTCAGGCGTTAAAAGCACTGGCTGCTCTTGCAGAAGACCCTCGTTGAAATCCTAGAACCCACATGGCAGCTAACAGTCATCCACAACTCCAGTTCCAGGGGATCTAAAGCCCTCTTCTGACCTGGGGGTGGGGGACGTGCTGGATAGCTTTAGTGTCAACTTGACACACCTGGGTTGAGGGAGCCTCAGTTGGGGAATTGCCTCCATTGGACTGGCCTATGGCCATGTCTGTGGGGCATTTTCTTGATTGTTGAGTGATGTGGGAGGGCCCAGCCCACTGTGGGTAGTGCCACCCCTGGGCTGGTGGGCCTATAAGAGAGCAAGCTGAGCAGGGGCCAGGGGAGAAAGTCAGTAAGCACTGTTCCTCCATGGCCTGTGTTCCAGCTCCTGACTCCAGGTTCCTGCCCTGTGTTCCTACCTTGGGCTCCCTGATGAACTGTGACCTGGGAGATGTAAGACAAATAAACCCTTTCCTCCCCAAGTTGGTAGTGGTCAGAGTGTTTTGTCACAGCAATGGAGAAACAAACTAGGACAGGGGGCATTGCACAACATGGATGCACTTACATACATGTTGGTCATACACTCATACACATAAAAATAAAAATAATAAAATATTTTTTTTTAAAAAGACACCATGCTGGGTGTGATGGTTTATGCCTTTAATCCCAGCACTTGGGAGGCAGAGGCAGGTGGATCTTTTTGAGTTCGAGGCCAGCCTGGTCCACATAGTGAGTTCCAGGACAGCTGGGGCTACAGAGAGATCCTGTCTCAAAAAGACAAAAAAAAATCTTTAAAGAGCCAGGTACATAAAGTTGTAAATCATAACATAAGTTATGATTCCATTTATATAGAATGTTGGAATAGGCAAATTCGTAGATTCATGGTTGTCAGAGGCTGAAGAGAAAAACAAAAGGAGTGAGTGGCGTGTCCTTTTGGGGTGATAAAATGTCTTTTTTTCTAGCCGGGCGTGGTGGCACATGCCTTTAATCCCAGAACTCAGAAGGCAGAGGCAGGCAGATCTCTGAGATCAAGGCCAGCCTAGTCTACATACCAAGTTCCAGGCCATTTGGGGCTATAGGGAGACCCTGTCTCAAAAAAACAAAAAACAAAAGCGGTATTTCAGGACAGCATGAGAGTCTTACAATTACAGAATTCTGAAAAGTTGTAAGACTATATCATGCACAAAATAAGGACCCTGAACTAGATGTTGGTGATCTCATTCAGTTATTTAATCGAT